TTTTTTTTTTTTTTTTTTATCTCTGGTGTGACCCTTTCTTCTTTATCATTTTTCATTTAGATGCCCAGACAAGTTATAAAAGCCAAATTAATTATATAAACTATATAGTCTAATACAAATGACATGTGCACTGGTAATGGTTTAGGTGAGGATATGGGAAGATCAAATTTTAAGTCATTCTTGCCAGATAGAAAGGAATGTTAATCTTAGGACTTACTTAAAATATCAAGAATTTACAAAGATATTTTCACAGGAAAAGTGCATATATTCTTCTAATGAGGATATTCTTATTTGTATATGTGCTTGCCTTCATGAAGATTCAAGATTGGGAAAAGCTTTCAAGGATCCATGGGAAAAGAGTTTATTAAGATTTTTCACGAAGAAAAGAGTGTTTTCGATCTTGAAAACATGATTAATACAACTTATAACATAAAAATTCACGTCCTCAATTTAAAAAATGAAGATTACTCTTTAGAATTAAGATTACCACAACCCACATAGCTCATGTCTGGGAGAGCTTTTTTCCCATTTCTAGTGAAATTGTGACCGTTATACAATGTATATGTCAAACAAGGTAGCCCCAATTACGGACTATTTTAAGAAAGGATGACATTTTTGCCTCTTAACACTTTATTCATCCTTCTTGATAGAACAACATTTTTGGTATTTAATTTTCAGACAGTCAAAAATTGCTGCCAAAATTAGACCCATGTTCAACTGTATAACGATCAAATAATTGCTAAGCCCCTGTTTGAGTCACATTAAAATTTTTATTCTCATTCTTCTACTCATTTTCAATTACACATTCTTCAATAAAATAATATCTTTCATCACATCAATATCTTTTCCTTCTTTTTCAACCACACATTTTTCATCAATCTATTCTTTCAAAATACATTCTTCCAAAATAATGTGGCTCAAAACATACCCTAAAAATGAGAAAAAAGCTCTCCCAGACATAGACATAATTAGTGATGTAATGTGTCGTGGTTATCTGTGCTTGGCCGAGCAAGCAATTGAGCTCAACGCAATTGAAAAATAGACACCAGCTAACTTCAAATAAAAAAATTGAGGACTAATGACTATATTTTCAATAGGTTGAAAACCCAATGTGGTAATTTGCGCCAATATGAGACAAGATTGAAAGAGAGAGCGCCCTAAAACTTACAACTTATAGGTCAAGTTTCTTCTAAAAAAGTTGTTTTTGCAATTTTTGTAAATAACCAATGATACACCGTTAGAATTTAATGTAGAGATGGCAAAATCTTTTACTCTCGTCTTGTCCTCTCCCGTCCCATTTGGGTTGGGAAAATGAAAAAACTACTGCAGTTATTTCCTAACCATTTGAATAAACAAATTTATCTATTTTCTAACTTTTCAAATTCTAACCAAATTTATAGCAAACAAGGCTTAGCCCATGTTTGATGCACATTATTGAGNCACATGGGAGGGTGGTTCGACTTTGGACCAAACGAGCACTAATGAGGATTTTACGGATAGGACCAAACAAAGACCTTGTTTGATACACATTATTGAGTGAGAGAATGCATTTTAAATAGTGATTTAATGGAAAATATGTAGTTAAAAAATAAAGAAAAGTTTTGAATTTACGTGTAATATTATTTTACTGAAAAATGTTTGGTTGAAAATGAGTTTTGAAAAAATGAATTTTTGTAAGAATGTGGATCAAATAGGAAGTTAGTTTATTTATCTTGAAAAATGCTATAGATACATAAGTGTACCCATAGGGATGTCCATAATGGACACTCGGCGCCCCCGTAGAGGCACCCCACCAATGAGGGAGCATCGGGTGTCCATTATGGACTCAAAGCACAACCCTTTTATCTTTACTCATGGTTTGAAATATAAATTATATTTCAATAAATAAACAGAGAAAAATAGGTATATTTTAATCTCAAAGAAATCCATGATGAAGTGAGAGACGAAAGGACCACCCCACCCGATTACCATCCCTAATTTGATGTTCTCATAAAAAACTATTGTACTTATTCGCAATTTCTCACACAACAAGAAGTATTTTAACAATCTTACTACATGTACATTAATTTTGACATTATGGATGACATTTTTGTGAGTTGACATTTTTATACATTAATTTTAAAAACACTTTAAATAATCAATTACACAAATTTTGACAACTTACACAATTTACTTAGTTTAATTAACGATAAAATAAGATCAATACCTAACTCAAGTAATAAGAGCGAAGTCTAAGTAGACCAATGGCTTGAATTCAAGTCTCATTTGGAGAGGAGAAATATTTTAAAAATGTATAAAAAGATAAAATCGATTTCTTAACAAAAATATTCTCGAGATCCAAGTGTTATAAAAATAAAAGGTTAAGGACCATGTCGGGAAAATGAATAGATTGGGGGACCTAATTGCCATATTTTGCCAAATCCATAGTAGTTTGATTTACGAGGAAAAGGGGAAAAAACTACGGTAGGGTTTATCTATCAACAGAGCAGCCTAAAACCCTCACAAACAAAGTCTGAGAGATGGGAGGGAAGGGTATTAAAAGAAGAGAAAAGAATTACAGAGCCGCACATGGAGGCAGCAGCAGACTCCCACCCCCGCCTGTCCCCTCTTCACTTGATGCAGTCCCTTCTAAACTCCGGAAAATCATGTCTTTAACAGGTATATGCGTGTATATGTATGCGTCTGTTTCTGATGTATGTATATATGCAATTGTACTAATGGGGTTTTTTTGTGGGTTTATGCCGTGACTATTTCTGTGTTTTTGTTCTTGTTTATTGTTTGATTCTGTAATGATTTGAGTGTATCTATTATCCGAAAATAGGATCTTTTTCTTAGTTTTTTTATTTTTTTTGGGGGTTTTGTGTATAACTTATATGTTGTGATTTCAGGGGCTGGAAAACAGTCGTTGGATGGTGTAAGAAGTGTTAGAGGAAATGGTGGTAGTGGTGGAGACAAGGTGAGACCGTAGATAATTTTTTTCTCATTTCTGAAAAAAGAAAAAAAAAAATACTGTTCTTTAGTTGGTTAGGATAATGAATTTATATCTCTGAGTCATTAGTTTTTACAATTAGTTAAAGCTGGGGTAAAGGAGGAATTATTGTTGGATCATAGCTTTATTGAATATTTTTAAGGACGTCAGCTTCTTAATTTTGTGGTGATTAATTGCAATGAATGTTGTTATGAAGACTTTTGAGTTGTTGAAAAAGATCAATCTTGTTTTTTTGGGATTTGTGATAGCCAACTACAATACCCAGTTGTAGTAAATATCTGATGACAACGACAACAAACTAAGCCTTTTTTGCGCTTTGTTGTAAATTTGGGGATTTCTATGTGAATTCTTTTTCAGCATTCTGTTTGATTTACTGCTAGATTTAGTGGGAAATATAAAACAATTAGTTCCTCAGCAACTGCAAAAAGCTATGTTAGTTTTGGTCTACCTCTTTCTCTTTTGACTCGTTATACCAAGATAGTATCCCTCTTATGAAAGGGGCTCTCTTTAGGAAGATAATTTTGTCTTTAATCTGATAGCATTTGTCCATTGTCATGCAAATATTTCAAAACCTTATAATTGCCATCTTTATCCATACAGATATATAATGCATGGATACCACATTTTCACAGTAATTGGTATTTGGGTTTTCTTTCTAGTCTCATGATTCAGCGTCAAATTTCTAAGTAATTGATATTTCTATTTTTCATTAAGTCCCATGGTCCAATAGAAATATATTTTTTTCTGTATCTGCAAAAGTTAGAAAAAATTGTGAGGCCCCTGTTATGGGACAACTGCGTGAAGTTGTTGATATTATTGAATAAAGGACACTTTATCGATCAAAAGCAGTACAGGCATCTTGGTTTTTTCCTTTTCTATGCCCTTATCCCGTAGGTACAGTGTTTGAAACTTCGAATCAAAAGAGGGCCTTTTCTTCCGTACGAATCAATCTTTTTCCATTTCAATTCCTTCCCCTTACCTTCCAAGGAAAATATCGAATAAGATCCCAAATTTGACGGGTCAGTGTAAGCTTTCTTTGTAAACTGCAATTGCTGACTCAATAAAGTTCTGTTTCTATGTGCTTTTCACATTGTGAGTTGTATGCTGATGTATCATTCTTTTGTAGAAACCTCGTCCTGGGGATGGAGGTGATTCCAAGACTATAGGGGTGAAAAGAGAAAGAAATGATCAAGATTTGATCAAGCAGGAACTTGGTGACAGTGTTCTACAAAGCAGCACCCATGAAAAGAAGAAGCGAAGGAAAAGTAAAAAAGCAAATGATCTTCGATTTGAAACAGAAGATCAGATGGAAGTTGCTGGTTCCAAAAGAAAAGAGCGTAAAAAACAGTAAGGACCTAGTGTGCTATATCGTATCTTATTAATCTCTTCCATTTTTGTGAAATTTACACAAGTCAAATAAGGTTAAGAGGAATTTGTTTGAAGACCAAGTTGGAGTTATTTTTATTATTATTTTTTTCTTTTCTAGAATGGCCATTATTTAGTTGATATTCTGAATACACTCTTTAACCTCATCATCTTGCTCATGTCAATTTCTTCCTCAACCTCATCCCCCTCCTCTCCATTCTGCAGCCACCTCCTTCCCAATTGCCCCCTATTACCAGGGAGTCTCTCAGGGTGCTGACTAAGTTTGCTCAGTTTCTTTAGCTCTTGAGCTACAGGGTGGAGGGAAGGGGTTGAGGAAGATATGATTTATGGAAGGTAAATTCCATTTTTAGTAAGGTCAAATTAGACATTTAATGCTTAAACTAGGACTTTTTAGACAACGAATATATATATATAACTTTGGCCATCACGGTAGGCGAATTGAAAATAAATGAAGAGTAATATTAGACATGTAAGTGGGTTGACAATTTGTGCAGGCGCTTGGAAGCAAGGAAAAAGAAAAACAAGAAAGCCAAAGAAGTGAATGTAGACTTTCCAGGCCATGAAAAAATAAAATTTGGAGATATTGTTGTAGCACCACCTAAGTTAGTTGCATTTCCCAAGGTATCCAGTTCTTCATTTGTTCTATAAGATTCACACACAATGACTATTTTTATATTAACCTTAGTTTTCTGGTTGTAACAAAGGGTTTGAAGACGGTTCAGGATGCTTCACAAGAAAGGCTCCGTTTACAGGCAGTTGATGCCTACAGGAATCGGAAGGGATGGACATCAAGGCCAGGAGGTCAGCTTCCTTTGTCTATGAATGTGCCACCATCGTTGTAGTCTACCAAACAGAGAAAAGATACCTTTCTCCTGTGTGGCATATACGTATACTCACACAGACTCTCCATTTGATCTCTACCGAGGCATCAGAAATCCTAAAATGGGGTCCAGCTTTATAGCAATGAATGCGAGCAACCTTTTTATGTCATCGACTTGAATTATTTACACCTATCATCTTCATGGCACAAGGTGTATACTTTTTAGTACTTTTGCAAATGGAATGGTATCCCAGGCCCTGTAACCCAATTCAATTCTCAATGTTATTTAATCCAGCCATAGTTTGTTGTTGCATGAGTTTTGTGTGCCTATCTTCTCTTATTAACAAAATTGTATTACTTTTCTCAATAAAGCATATTATTGTGCGACGCTGGACACTAATTAAAATGCAGAGCTCTTTTTTTTGTAAAGATTCGAGTTTCTATGTCTAAATCGTTATATCATACGTACTGTTCGTTTTGATAGAAATTCTATCCATCTTACCTTTCATAGATTTTTATCACTTTCGAACTTAAGTCTCTTATGAGACAGGTTTTAGGTTCAAATCGTGAAGAGCACCATGTCATAAATTTCGATATATATTTTGTTGAGGCAAAACTTGGTCTGTAATGGTTATAAGAGATCCAATTGCTTTAGAGCTTCTTGGATTTAACAATGATTTACATGAAGCAACGAAATAAAATTCAGAGAGACAATAATTTATTATTGATGTAAAAACATGGTGACTACAGTGACTAGGGAGGTTACAGAGTAACATGCTAATATCATATGGATAATTTTTCAAGTTTGAACTTTTGTGCTAAAATTGTGCCCTTAAATATTCAAGATACACAGCAACCTCCGTTTGTGCTGGTTGCTAGTCTACTCTGTGGAAAGCACGGACATGAAGCCCGCCATCGATATGAAGATTGATCATTGTTCTGTAGTTTACTGGCTTTCGACTGTCACTCAATTCGAACATGAAATATCGTAGCAGAACAGTTGAGAAAATCTTCATCTGCCTATATGCAAATTCCTTCCCCAAACAAATTCTTGGGCCTGCCTGTTCATCATCAGAAGTTCCAGTTTGTGTACAAGAATCAGATGTTTCCCTTAGTGTTAAGGATATAGTATGAAGATTTATGTCAATGCAGGTAATAATGCAAGAGCAAAAAGAGTTGTAGTGATCTTTCAACTTTTACATGGACTAAATTAATCTAATTTTTATCACTTTATTTTTTTCTAAAAGAAAAAAATATGTTCAGATGTGAAATCTTCATATCATAAAACCTTAATGCTTGATTATTGATACAATTTTTTGTTTTACTCTAAAGTTTTGAAACCTGGAGGCTTGAACAATTAATGTAATATCAAGATTATATTAATTTAATATCCTTTCGACTAACCTGAAAGGCTGTAAATTTGAAGGGGCTCTCCTGCTTGAAGAAACCTTTTTCGTCCATCCATCTTTCTGGTCTAAAGTCTTCTGCATCGTCACCCCATAAAAATCTCATTCTTCCCATTGCATATGGTTGGTAAGCCACAAAATCCCCTTTATTCACACAGAACCCATCTGGGAGTGTGTCATCAGACAAGCATTGTTTTGCATCCTGTAATTATGGCAAATTTTAAATCGTAGTCGTATAATGTTATAAGTGGCGCGTGTAGCTGGCTTCTTATATAATATGCTTAGAAACTACCTTTTAACACAAAAAACATGTCAATTCAAATATATGAAAACGAAACTTCACATTAGCAAAGAAATTCAACAAGGATTAATTTCAAATTTGGTGCTCAAGAACCATAGAAAGAGTTAAAGACCCTAAACAAAGATTGCAACCGCCTGAATCAAACTGATCCCAGGTTTCAATTAATGAAAAATCAAGTTACCGTATTGACCAATCTCGAGCACATATTCAACAATATTATAAATTTCCTCAGAAGTTCAGTAGTAGAGCAAAAGAATGAACTCAAAGAGGCGATTTATGAACTTTCCTAGTACATGTAATAATGGGGCGTAATCATTTATCCAGATGAAATGGGAGAAGTATCCTGAACTATTTTTCGTCTAATGAAGTCAACTTCACGTAATCAATCTGACATATTTTCATTTTTCCTGAACTTATCTGTAGATTTAGTGGTATAGTTTTGCTTCGTATTGTGGAAGTGAGCTTTTAGCTCAGGAACAGTGATTCTTCTTACCACAGGAACTGCAGGATAGAGTCTGAGGGTTTCAGTCAATGCTGAGTGAAGGTAATGCATCTTCTCCAAGGCTTCTTCACTCACACTGGAAGCAAATTCTGAAATATCCACAACCTTTTCTGTTTTTGTTGCTTCTTTTATTTCTTGTGCCACCTTTTCCTGTACAAGAGGATGCTTGCAAAGGATGTAAATAAACCAGGAGAGAGTAGTTGCTGTTGTGTCTTTCCCAGCAATTATGAAGTTCAATATTATATCCCTCAAGTATTTCGGATCTGCTTCATTGAACTGCAAGAATCTTGTTAAAATGTCTTCTTTCTGTAGCTTCATCTGGCACATGACAACAATATCTAATTATTTGACGACATTCGACTAAGACCATGTTTGACAAGGTCTAAAAAGGTAAAGTAACTTATCCAAACATGACGTAAATAACTTTACTCATTTTTTTTGGCTTAGCCAAACATGCTTTAAGGTAGAAGCTTTAAATTGTTTCACCTACAGAAGAATCATTCTTTGACTCGTGCATTTCCTCAATTTTTGTCCGGATCAACTTATACACAAAATCATCAACTACTCGAATATTTTTCTTCAACTTCGCTTCTGATCCAACATTAAAAGCTTTTTTCATCTTCCAGAAAATATCAACATATCTCCAAAGAGTCATTGCACTTGCATTGTCAAAAGCCTCGCTAAATTTGGCACCTTCTTCACTTGAACCACACATGCTGTCTAACTCAACTCCAAAGGCAACTTTGAAAATAGAATCTAGAGTTGATTTCATAAAGAGGTCCTGCATTTTTTGCATAGATTAGTTGTCAGATCAAATTTAAGGGGAATTTTTCAACTGGGGAAGTTAGAGTCGCAGAACCTCACTTGGATGTCCATTGTTTGGTTGGAGTTTGCAGCTTCAGACACTATGTTAGCAAGCTTGGCAACATTTTTTCTGAAGACTATACTGCTAAAGTCTCTCAATACCCGTGTAGAGAATTCGTAGCTTGATACCTTTCTCTGCTCCCGCCACCTGTCACCATCAACAGTGAAAATCCCATCACCTAATAGACCACTTAGAATGCTGTAATTATATGATCCCTGTAAAAAAAAAACATAAATCCTTGAATTACAAGCCCCTGCTGTAGTATTCTGGAACTGATAGTGAATATAAATAGGTACAGGGCCTGCATTTACCATTTTACTCGTATAACTTCGCATGCTATGTAGATGATGGAGACTGCACCCAATTATGGACATCACAACAAAAATATGTACTAATTCTAGATGTAAATTTAGAAGGAGATATGACTTGGTTTTCTTGTAGTAATAGTTTTTAAATTAGAGAAATTTCTCATTGGCTATTTTCTCATTTGTATTTCTCTCAATAAATTTTTGAGGCTGTCTGGGAAGGACCAAGTTATAGAGAGAAAATGGAATAAGAGCATCTCCAAGAGGCACTATTTTTAAAGAGCATGTTTTGTAATTTAGAGAGAGAGAGAACTTTTAAGTACTCCAACGATCTCTTTATCATTAACACTTAATTTTACTACAATATTTATTGTCTTTCCCTATCTATTATTTTCACTAGCTTCCCTTCAAATTATTGTATCATTTTCCTTATTGAAATTGAAATATTTTAGAAGTTTGAATGCATTTAATTATGGAAAGTGGGTTTGGTTCTCCAAAACTCACTTACTATTTTAAAATATTAATTTGAAGAGTCTCTTGTAGCATAATTTTAAGAGTTTTACTCTTTAGAATAGGGATGATCTTGTGTTTAAACTTTAAAGAGGAGATCTTGGAGATATAAGACCTTATTTTGCAAAATTATGTCTAAAGTGCTCTTTTTCACTCACCACACCCCAGCCCTATTTTCTTACCTAGTCCCCCCTCCAGCTTCTAGTCCACGAATAATGTTACTTATACATAAGTAGTTACGTAATGGTTTAGATATAGACTGTGGGTCAAAAAGAGAGTGGAAGAAATTCTGACACAAAAAACGAGGAATAAGGCTTAAAAGTTATGTCAGGTTAAATAGTAAAACTGAATTTTTAGTAGTTTCTTTATATTTAAGATTGAATATTGTTAATTTTCTATTGTAATATAATCAAACAATAATTTCAGCTACACATTCAAAGCATCATTATCAACAGATATTAATCAATTAAAGGCTAATTGAAGCAAGAGTTGGGCGTACCTTTCCATAGTTGTCAAAATTAGTTTTGAGTATGTACTCAACAATAAGCGGATCGGAGGTATAAATCTCATTCCGAAACGGCGTAATCAACCTGTACGTCCTGTATTTTCCAGCAAGATCCGTCATGTAGTGGTGCAGCCTATCGAAGTTCATCAGCTGGTGAAAATTTGTGCCGCCAATTGGATGATATTTTTTCTTGTACAGCAGTTTACGGATGAGAAATTGGAATGTGAAAATGGATATGATTAGAGAGAGGAAAGTGAGTGCTGAGCTGAGGGAAAAATCCATGGAGTCTGTAGCGAAGGGGACGAACTGAAATATCAGCGGTTAACTATGGGCTTCTCTTTATAAATAATGGAGAATTGGAGATGACGTTCATGTTTGGCTAAGGCTTGAAAATTTTACTTTTACTTAAATAATTTATTTTAAAATAAATATCTTCGTTCATTGGTCAAAATTGAAAACATAATATAGAATATTTTCATGGAATTTATATTCGGATAAATTGTACTTATTAAGAAATTAAGTAATTTATTTTTAAGCCAAATAAGTTTGGTAATGTAAGATACTTAAAAGACTTGCTTTTAAGCTTAAAGCAGGGTTCTAATAAGTTACTTATTTTAAAAATAAGTAACTTAAGCGACTTTGTATTATTCAACATTGTACACCACAATATAATAAATACTATTTGACTATAATTAATAGGGTAAGGTTGATGGGTTGGGTTCAGTCTAATCTATTTTGTCGAGCATATCGTGATACCTTATTAATATTTTGTTAATGTATAAGTCCTCGTATTTTAAATTTTGTAGCAACATAGCTCTTTGTAATTTTTACTGTCCAAAGATAGCGTCAAATCATCTGTGTACCATTTTCAACGATGGATTATGTCATTTGTACACTTATTTTTTACATCATTGTTGACACCTACAGTGTTGTCATTGACTGTAAAAATTATTTTTTGTTTAAATTGCCCAATGAGAAAATGCCATGTGGCATGGTATAAACTAAGGTGTAAAAATAATGTACTTGTTCAATGATTATAGTAATGCGGTGTCCAAAGTTTTGATGATAATGAAATAATAATGTTATATAACACCAATGGTGCTACAACGTCATTCTATGTGTCAGTAAATGATATTCTCAATTAAATAGGGAGAATAAACAATTCATTTATTTAATATATCATTTAGTGTCTCTTGGATCGATGTTGTAGCACCACTGACGCCAAATAACATTACTTATAAAGAAAAGATTTTTCAACGTTGCTATAGAATTTGAAGTTCGAGGACTTGTATGCCAGTAAAATTTGAACTTGGATCAAATTAATATTCACAAAAAGAATCAAGGATAGAAACAAAAGGATATGAAGTTGTGAACAACACTTCTCAACGTTTTTTTTATTTTTTCTATTATTCGTCACTATTACTGTTAAGTGATAAATTTCACATCGAATAAAAATGAAAATATAGATCAATTTATAAGAGTTTCGATTACTCTTCTTAATAAAGTTAATCTATTAAAATAGAACCTCAATTCTTAATAGGTATTAGAGGCATTAAGCTGCAATAAGTGATTCGATCCCATTAAAACTCAAAAAAAATAAAAAATGAGCAAGCCGATTTCAAGATTGGTTTGATCAAACGAGCCACCATCTTACGGGGAATGTTAAGGGAAAAAATTTCACATCGAATAAAGATGAAATCATAGACCAACTAATAAGAGTTTGGATTACTCATCTTAATAAGATTAAATTTTTAAGATGAAACTCCAAATCTTAATCATTACTACCACAATAATGAATAATACTACTAATTTTCTTCTTTAGGTCAAGCACATGCATAGAACCCAATAACAATAACAATGTCTGCTTTGAGAAAAAATGGCAGCGTTTGACAACAAATGACATTGAATTCATTGGCTTAAATTTTATGTAAACATCTTTGTGACATAATAATGTGATAGATATTGTATAAAAAGAAATATCGAAATCTATTCCCAACAAATATGTAACTAGTGAGACGATCAAGAATCCCGAA